GACTTTCCGGACTGCTTTTCTTTTTGCTAAGAGTGTTGTAATCTTACAATAGGAGTGTTGTAAAATGTTTTTTTTTGAATAGATCAGTGTCTACGGAAAATCTGATGAATGTGAACATGACATATACAACCCCAAGAATCCGAACTGGGGGCCCTCCGGAGGGTCCTGTCCCTTCTCCACCACCCAGGGGACCGGACCCGAACGAAGCTTCCCATCTGAGGGCCATGAATTCCAAGACCATCCGACCCTCGAGGTGTCCTGGCTGAAGTCCCCCCACACTACCTATATACTTCCAGACAGGGCACCCCGACAGGATGGTCCTGGTTTACATGAGTGTTGTTTGTTCGGTGTCCGTTTCATACAGCTCACTTGACGGGTCATGAAGAGCCCGACCTCGTCGAGCTCCACCACGAAGCCGCTCTGTGGTCGGTCGTGTTCCAAGCTCTGAAGATCGGTGAAAGCGAAGAGACTGGAGGGTCAGTGGGGACGCCCCACAAAAGGGGACAAAAGCTCAAACGGTCCATCCTAAAAACTCCTCCTCTCCCCAGCCAAGTACCCGGCCAAGTACCCAGCCATACACCTGTATTGGATAGATTCCCCCGTATTGCTAAAAGCATGCTCGGAAACCTTTGATTTGCCAGGGAAACGCCTCGAATTTCGGGTCAGGAAAATCAATCTGACTTGATAGGGAACCTGAGTTTGGACACTTCCTGTACTTCAGCAGAGAACCTTCAGCCGTCCTTGTGGGGTAGCAGAGAACCTTTCTCCACCAAACACATCCAAAAACCTGGTCGTTTCCTATCTCTGTTTGTTTAGCATGATGCCTCTAGGTTTCACTTCCGGAGAGTTCTTTTACGTCGTTCGACCAGAGCGTCGGCGATGTGCTAGTCACGATGGCTAGCATGGAAGATGTCAACAGGTGGAAAGTTTGGTTCACCTCTATCTTCCAGGGAGCCTGCTTGGGAATCGGCTCTAAGCATCCTTTCTAGTCCCAAGACCACCCTTGGGAGGACTGAACAAAAGCTTGCCATGTTGACATGGAAAACGACATTTGGGGAAAAAATAAAAGGACCGGATAACCCCACATGATAAGTTTTACAAATTTCAACTGTATATGAACATCACTTGGGAGACGGAGTAGTGAGATGAAAAGTCAAGAAGGAAGTGTGAGGCGGTTATGCTCAGACGTGCAGTATAAGTGATGATGTGATGGACGAGGATGAGAAGGAGGGGAGGGAGGAGGTGTGTGTGTGTGTGTGTGTAGTGAGATGGCGTGCGTGTGTGTGTGGGTGAGGCTGTGGATTTTGCCATCAGATTCGCATGCGACCTTCAAAACGTAACACACTCGAAACGACCATCAAAGCTATCAAGTGGTCTCATCCCGACCACGGCGGGCAGTGTTAGCAGGATGTAAAGCAAGAAGAGGTGAGACACGCTTTTTTCTCTCACGCAGAGATGTAGAGTGAGCTCCAGGCAGGACCTGAGCTCCGGTCAACTCGCACGAACAGTGAGTATATATTTGCAACACTGAAGGCGGAGGCTAGCACAAGACATCAGAAGTGTCGATGTCAGAAACGAACTTGGTCAGTGTCAATTCTTTTGAGAAACGAACTCCGTCAGTCGTTATGCAACGCAAGGCAGCGTTGTCTTCGATTCTTTTCGCAGCAGTGTATCGTCACAGTCTGCCCAGCTCGTCACGTCGACTCGCCGGCATGCTAGCTCACAGTTCTTGAACTGCAGCAAAAATGCGAGGTCTTACAAAGGAATTTAGGTTCTTCTCCCAAGTGCGCAATGCCCAGAAGACATGCGGCCGATGCTTCCAGGGGTGAAGCGTGGGACGGGCCGTCAACAAGCTCTGCACAGCCGCTTCCGCGGAGAGCTGACGACGAAAGATCAACCACGCGCACAATGCCGCTGAGCTGCGGTTGACCCTGCCGAAGCAATGAAAGAAGATGCCTCGTTCTTCTCGCTGAGTCGTTGCCTTCAAGTGCTTCAGAAGAGCGCAGCACATGTCCATCCACAATGACAACCAAGCATTTCCCACTTCTTGACAAAAAGTATTGGTGTCATCCAAGTATGTTCTGGGATCGTCCACGTCGAACGTAAACCACCGAATCTGGAGATCTTCAAACCACGCTTTCCAGCCCACCTCTGGCTGTCCACGAATACGTTTCATCTCCCGCGGACAAAAGCTCAAGACAACCGACACCTTGCGATAGGAAAGCGGGACAGTTTCCTGGTGAGTCCGGAGATGATGGCGACAGGCAGCCAAGCTCCCGAGAAAGTAGATCTCAGGCGGTTCCAAAGACATCATCTCCCCAGGAAGTATTTCACAGATGTCATTTGGCCAATAATCTGAAATATCACCGAAGTGATACTGGTGCGCTGCCAAAAGCCGGTCGAGTGGTGGCTGATCCTCGATCGGCATGTCCAAACTGCTCTCAATCATCCGTTGCAAAGCAGCGCAGGCAGCAGACATCGCATCGTCGTATGGCTCCATGTTGCACGAGTTGCGTGTTTCGAGCCTGGATATCTTACGGATGGTCCGCTCAAATGCTCTTTGATGTTCTCTGACATACAGCTGCAGGCTCACAAGTTCATAGACCAACTTACTTGATGTTGGTCTCTATCGCCAGGGCGCGGTCATCATGTCGCTCAAAAGCGGAGGTCTATCAACCAAAAAGGTTAAGGCCCAGACCTGGTAGCAGCATTGTAGCATTGGCCTCCGCGAAAATCCGACCAGAAAAGGCAAATATACAATCGGCTGCGAATGCCTTCTCTCCGTTGCCATACACAATGGCAGTACCGCGCAGAGACAGTTTGCAAGCATCTTTGCCACAGCCATTACAATGCGATTCGCATGCAGTGAGACCCCTTTCTTTGCAAATCACAATGGCAGCAGCGCAGAGACTTCTATGCAGCATGTACAAGGCGATTCATGCCGCGCAAACACTGGTCCTGCAAATCACAATGGCACCAGTGCACAGACACACTTCGCAAACATCCTTCTCGCAGAATTTACAATGCGACTCCGAACCGGCAAGAACCAATACTATGGAAATCACAATGGCAGTAGTGCACAGACACAGTGTGCGCACATCCTGGCCGCAGCCATTACAATGCGATTCGCAGCCTGTCACAGCCATTGCTTTGCAAATCACAATGGCAGTAACGCACAGAACCGCAGGGGGCCCAGCGGCGACCACGCGCGCCGGAGGCCCTTCTGCAGTCTCTGAACACTGCGCCGGACACTGCGGAGAGAGCCGGGCCCCCAGCGGGGACCACGCGCGCCGCAGGCCCTTCTGCAGTCTCTGGACACTGCGCCGCAGCCCCTTCTGCAGTCTCTCATCCTTCTCGCAGAATTTACAATGCGACTCCGAACCGGCAAGAACCAATACTATGGAAATACTATGGAAATCACAATGGCAGTAGTGCACAGACACAGTGTGCGCACATCCTGGCCGCAGCCATTACAATGCGATTCGCAGCCTGTCACAGCCATTGCTTTGCAAATCACAATGGCAGTAACGCACAGAACCGCAGGGGGCCCAGCGGCGACCACGCGCGCCGGAGGCCCAGCGGCGACCACGCGCGCCGGAGGCCCTTCTGCAGTCTCTGAACACTGCGCCGGACACTGCGGAGAGAGCCGGGCCCCCAGCGGCGACCACGCGCGCCGCAGGCCCTTCTGCAGTCTCTGGACACTGCGCCGCAGCCCCTGCTGCAGTCTCTGGACACTGCGCCGCAGCCCCTTCTGCAGTCTCTGGACACAGCCATTACAATGCGATTCGCAGCCTGTCACAGCCATTGCTTTGCAAATCACAATGGCAGTAACGCACAGAACCGCAGGGGGCCCAGCGGCGACCACGCGCGCCGGAGGCCCTTCTGCAGTCTCTGAACACTGCGCCGGACACTGCGGAGAGAGCCGGAGTCAGTGATGGAGTGAGTGAGTGAGTGAGTGAGTGAGTCAGTGAGTGAGTGAGTGAGTGAGTGAGCGAGCGAGCGAGCGAGTGGAGGAGGGGGCGAGGAGGACGGAGGGAAGGAAGGAAGGGCGGATGCGGGCGGGATGGCAGCCAACAAAACTAGAACCCCACACAGAGATGTGGGGAACAAAAAAGCTTTAAAAAAAAAACACACTACATGTTTCAACATGTTGTTGAAGTGACTGATCATCTCACCACCAGGCTTACATGGACCGCGTTAAAGAGGCACCCCGTTCCGATTGGCCGCTGCCAGGACGGACGGAGCTCCAAAGGTTGAGTCGGTCGATCTCGCGTTGCGTTGCGCTGCGGACGCCAAAAGAAGGGAGGAACGGGGTGAGCGGTCTGGGAGGTGGAAGAAGTTGGGAGCCGATTGCCCAATGTGGGCGATGATGCCTTCCTTTTTGGAGGGGAAAGGAGGCCGAGTGAGAGCAAAACCAGTGACAGTGACGGGTGGGCGTATTCTTTGCGGGGTGTCTCGGGTACGGTTACAGAGTCTAGTCGTTGATTTCTTGTGAAGTGGAAGTTTCTCAAGACCCGGAGGAGGTTGAGCGATGCGGCGATGGTGTAGGACGTCGTTCTGGAGGATCGCCACCTCAAAGTCTGGTTTGTGTGGTGTTGGTCATGACTAAAATCCAAGCACTGACCCTTGAAACAAACCTGATACATTCCCCTTTCACCAACCACCTGCGAGGGAATGTGGAGGTTGACGGAATGTGGAGGTCCTGTTTGGTTTCTGGAAGTCTCAGACCGGTTCCTGTGTTGTGAGTATATCTTTGGCCCAAGCAGTTAAGAGTCTTCGGCCGACAGTCGTGGAATTCTGTTTCATCCGTTCTCAGCGGGTGAAGCAATCGAACCTCAGATCAGGTTTCGGTGTGCTGACAGGTGTCGCCACCCACACGAGATCCAGGCTAAAGAGGAGGTTGAAGAGAAGTGGGACTTGGATGGACTTGGGTCAAGAGGACTTCAGTCGAGCCTGCCACCACTCCCACAACCAAGCGTCAGCGCCTGACACGAAGGAACATGCAAGGGAAACCAGCAGCCACATGTGCCAGAAGGACTCTCGTTCAGGCTTCTATCGAGGAGGGAAAACCTGATGATGTTCAAGTCAAGCAAGAGGAGAGTGATGACCAAGATGCCCATGCCCTGTGGCTTCAAGTGAAGAAGGAGATTAAGGATGAGATGCAGCAGGACCAGATTGGTTGCTTGGGCGTTGGCAGCTTGGGCGTTGGCACTACCATTGCTGGACATGAGATCAAGCAGGAAGTCGAATTGGAGGTTGAAGAGAAGGTCGACACAGGCAGTGATCCAGCAATCACTTCAATTCCACCAAACAAGAAGCGCCACTTGGCACGCAAGGAGACCAAGATCAAGAGGAAGAAAAGTCATGACCGTGAAGCTCCCTCCTCAGGACAAGCCTGATGGTTGGTGGCTGCAAGTCAAAAGCGAGATTAAAGAGGAGTTGGGGTAGTAACAAGGTTCGCTATTAGGAACAAGTGCATCGCTTCTAGTAACAAGTGCCTTACTAGTAGTAACAAGAAGCTTATTAGAAACAATAAGCTACTAGTAACAAGTGCCACGCTAGTAGTAACAGGTGCCTTACTAGTAGTAACAAGAAGCTATTAGGAACAAGTGCCTTACTAGTAGTAACAAGAAAAAAGCGAGAAGTCCAGAGGAGTTGGGCTCCCGGGGGATTCAACGGCCAATGGCCTAGTGGATGCAGGCGTGCCACCCTTCCTCCGGAGGAGGCGGGAGCGCAGCAAATTTGCGAAAGAGGGAACAACCCAAATCCCAGGTTTTGCTCAGGACTGGTTTCTATTCGTGGGTCCCGTTCTAGGGACCATTATCGAATAGATTCGAATAGTATTGACTGATCTTTACACGTTTTTTTACGGATGATGCCCCTTCTATTGAATCTATACCATGGAAACCGGTTGTCGGGGGCCCTGTCGAAGAAGCCAAGAAATGCAAACAAAGATACATCCTAGGTCACCAGCATTCCCAAGACCCACAGTGACAACAAAGTAGGTGTAAAGAATAGTGTAGCTAAAGTAGGTGCCTTTTCAACTATTAGATGCGAATCCTCATACTGAACGCATACTGATACTGCAGGACGCAGCTCGTGCTGCCTCGGATGCTTTTGCGGCAGCAGCTTCGAAAGGGCACAGCAGTGCATCGCATTTCGAAAGACCAAGACGTGGACGCCGACCAGGCGCTGTCACTAACGCATCGGTGACCAGTGCGGAGGAACGTACCGCAGAAAATGTGTGTTTGTCCTTTTGTATGCATGAGTGTCGTGGCTTCCTTGACAGTATTCCTCTTTGATGTTCAGAGGCTAAGGGTCCTACCAAGTGTTGGAGATCAAGACCAAGGAAGCGGCGGCAGACCGGACCTTTAGGGATATAATTAGCAATATTTGGTTCTATTGGTCATGCAGCCTTCGAGGCACTGGTGTATTGCCCAGATGTTCCATGAAAACAGACCTGTCCCATCCCTCAAAACTGACCGGGATTGGTGAGAAACCCCAAACCCTCCACATGAGGCTCCGATTTCTGCATGTGATGTGGGTGGCAGACGTTTTTTGCTTTTGTAGTTCAATCAGTCACAGGCCATGTTGTCCTGTCAACTTCTTCGTCGGCCCGGTGGATGGCGGGCCAACAGCTCCCCAAGAAGATGCTCCAGCATGCGTGCAGCGGTTGTTTGCCTACCGTTTACGGTGCCTTCGGCAATTCCACCACAAGCATGATCCCCAAGCGCTGCTCCCGGAGGAGGCACACGATCAGGAGTGTTGCATGTTCTTGAACAACGACAGATCTGACAGCAACAAAGACATAGAGTGACATGCATGTTAATTAACTAACATGATTCAACATGGCATTTTCCCACAATGACTATGTGACTATGCGTTCCAATCGGACAAGCCCGAGGTGTGCCACCTAGTTCTTACTTCTGAATGACCAACGAGACCCAAGTTCACAGTACAAGTTGACTGCAATCTTCAGCTCCAAAGCCAGCTATCCATGAAATCGATCACATTGACCGTGTTTTATCATAGCCCTTCTGTGTCCTTCCTCATGGTGACAAGACTTGGTTTTGGTTGAAGATGTGGTTTTGCTTTAAGCTGCAGAGGGTGTTTTGGCGTCATTTGTTGTGAAACCTGCTGCGAAGTGGGTTCCTTTCAACCTGTGCATCACATTGCTCGTGCTCAGTACAGCCCACGGGGGTGCTTGCGCCTTCTTCCTGAGAAGGCATTAATGGCTGGGCTTGGCTTGGTTTGACCTGGTAAATCTCATTGTTTTGGATGCAGGTCAAATGAGATTGCAGCTTGTAATGCAGCTTGTATATAATGAGATTGCTCTGTTCATATTGGTAGTGGGCGTTAAAACTTCCCGTCAACCTTTCGACTGGCAGGTGGCAGTGGAGTCCCCGATGCGTCTTGCTTCACCCAAAAGAGACCGGGCACTGTCACCTGAAGAGCTGCTGCTGGCAGAAAAGGACTGGAGGATTCAAGCGGGCAGTTGCATTCCAACAAATGTTCAATTGGATTTGTGTCCCGCTATTGATTTAATGGGTTGAACCCTGAACAACCATATGGTTTTGCTCCGCATTTGAGACTCAAATCTTTTGAAGTTGGAACTTTGAAGAGCAGGGAATGATTGCCTCTTCAAGTCGAAGCCGGGACATAAAGGTCCGTGGCTTGGACCTGATGAAGATGTGGCCGTGGATGAGGGACCTCCCAACATGTTTGTGGGCTGGTCATGGTTGGGCCTTCGATGCCATGGAAGGTGTCGAAGTTTGGGACTCAGTCGGCCAGAAGCCGCAGCTGCAGCCACAGCTGGAAGCTCTACAGAAATTCCTGAAACATCAGAGAAACCAACTTGCTTCCAGAGACACAACTCGGGGAAGCAGAGTGGGGTTCCAGGTGTGTTGTGGCACCCAACTTGCTGGGCATGGGAAGTCAATTTCCCCCTCTTTGACAAGAAGGGCGGCCGAACAGTTCGGCAGTTCTCCCTGAGCAAGTTCATGAAGAAGGCTCACCGAGACCGAAGCCGACGTGGCGGCGCTCGAGGCAGCCAAGGCCTTCCGAGCCGAGCTGGTGAAACAGGGCGTCCTCGAGGAGCCGAAGCCCGTGGACCCCAACTTCACCAGCGAGGTGCCAGGGGTGTGCTGGGACAAAGCGAGCAAAAAGTGGCAAGTGCTGCTCACCCCCAACAAGGCCACGAAGGGACCAAACAAGAGGATTCATGGCGGCTTCTTCACCGAGAAGGCCGCCGCCGAGTCCAAGGCCTTGGAGCTCGCGAAGCTCCACGGCTTGGAGCGCAAGGTGACGGCCGTGGGTCGCTTCTCGGAGCTGCCGATCTTCGGGGCGAAGGTGCCCTACCCCGGGGTGACCTGGGAGCGGAGGAGTCAGAAGTGGCATGCGCGGTGCCGAAGTTTCCGCGCAAAGCCAAAGGACCACAGCGAGGCCGAGCTCGAAGCGTCTCACAAGAAGGCCGTGGTTTGGAGGAAAAAGCAGGAGAAGGAGCGGGTGAAGGCGGCGAAGCCAATGAGAAGTCAAAAAGAGAGTGGATTCGAGCTATTTGTGTCAGCAACTGGATTGCCCCATCCCACATCAAGGTTCTGGTGTACTTCCCATAGTTTTCGGGTTTTCTTTGGCGATATTTTCTTGAATCAAGTGTCCTGGAAGAAGAAGCAGGAGAAGGAGAAAGCCACAAAGTAGTGATTTACCGGTTGCCTTTCACCATCTTTCACCCATGCCAGCCAACATATGTTAAGAACCTCGAAGTCTGCAGACAGATCAGGCACGAGACACCGACGATCGCGTTTCTGCGAAAAGAAGCGAACGGGAGTGAAAGAGGGAAACTGGTGAAGAGAGAACCTGTGAAATGAGATGTCCTTAGCTTGGCGTGCTTACAGCAAACAGCAAAATTGCCTTATAGTGTTTGATCTTTCTTTTTTGACTGGCAGACTGGTAGATGTTCTTTTGATATTTTTGGTATTTGCATCTATGAAGATAGTTGGTCTTCTGAAGGGGATGGGCCGCCGCAGCTTCCTTTGGGTACGGGTTTTCCTCCTCGGATGGATCCACGCGTTGCGAGGATGACTCGTGACGCGGTGTCACGAAACCGGTCGACAAAGTCACGACCCGCCGAGGCGAAGATAGCACAGAGGTGGTGAATGTGATGTGATTCTGGCACGCTTCTCTCTGGAGGGGGGGTAGAGGATGCTACGAACGGAACAAGCTTCGGCTACGATCGGGGCTCCTGGCCTTACTACTAGTAACAAGAAGCTAATAGAAACAAGAATTCGAATTGAATTTAAGTTTAATTAGAATTGAAACAAGAAGCTACTAGGACCTTACTGCCACTGACCCGAAAAGGGACAATTTCTCCTCCGGTTTTTTGGGGCGCTCAGTTGTGAACGGGGATGATGAGCAGCACTGATGAGCAGCCTGGAATGTTGTTAAGAGCACTGGCAAGAGCACTGGCATGTGGACGTAAGAACGGCAGTGAGCCATGGTGTTTGATGATGTAGCAAGACACTTGATTCACCCCCGCTAGCAACATTGTTGCCCTTTGGTTTGACTGCAAGGCTTCGGCCAGTTTCTGGAAGGGGTGCAGAACGACCCACGGCCATGTGTTGTTTTCTGCAAGACGACCCACGACCCACGGTCCTCAGCTGGCCAGGCTAGCTGCAGACACCAGCGGTCGATTGCTCTCACGGAGCAACAGGCAGGTCGGACATGGAACGTCAAGGGATGGCGGTTACGACTGTGGAGGCCATGTGGAGAACGACGGTGATAGACTACCAGAGCGGAGCGCAGCGTGGAGATGAATGGGCAATGTTCGTAGGCGATGGGCATTGACATTGATTTCTCTCAAGAAGATTGATTGGGAGCTTGTGCACTGCAGCTTCCAAATCAAGGACATGGAAAACCAGGGAAAGAATGACATACCTCTTGGAAGGCCAAAGTCCTAGAGCTTTTGCGCAGAAGTGGATAGCATGGATCCGATGTGCTTCGTATTTCCCACTGTACGCGCCGGACGCCGCGACGCAGGCAGAACCAAAGTGCCTTGCACTTGGCGGTGATCCTCGGTGCCAGCAACAGCCTGGGCGCCAGGCTGTGCCAGGCTGGAGTGGTGGGAAGCTGGCTGCATAGATCATGTAGACTCTTGATTAATAACCTCCCCTTTGAAGAGGATGTTCAATTCAATTGGGGGTGGTGTATGTACCTCAAGAGTCTACCTTACGAAAAATGAAGCAAAAAAAGTAAGTACAGTATGTGCTTCATGCAATACGAGGGGGGCATGCGATGGGCGGTTTCCGGCCGAAAACGGTCGTTGGATCATCTTCGACCGACTCCCTGGGAAGATCGACCTCCACAGTGAAAACCTTTCGCCCTGAGCGACCTCGCCGGTCTGGGCGCGATGCTTCGCCTGAGGTGTGCGGCTGTTGGTCGCCAAGGGGGCTGCAACTGACTTGAAGGCAACTGGAAATGTGGAACTGTTTCAGTACGTTTGGTGAACTGAAAGCATGACGTCATTTTTACCGACTGAAGGCCGGTGGTGGAAAAAAGGGGCAGACCGATTCTCCTTGGACTCAAAAACCTTCTTTCTCCGGTCCGATTCCTGGGTGTACTCCAAAACAGGTAACCAGACAGGTCCAGGTCCATCCGTTTTTGGGGGAAGCACGGGGTCTGGACTTCGTCTATCTCGGAGATCAGATGAAACGGTCAGAAAACTGACTGGTGCGACTCGTAGGGAATCAGGGAAGTTTCGCCCCCAATGGCAAATTCTATTGGATCCACGCGAGTCGCACCAGTCAGAAAAGGAAAGGGAAAACGGGGGCTGGACGGCGCTGAGTCCTGGTGGAGGCCTCCACCTGGCTCAAGTGTTGCGAGGCCGACGGCGACGGCCAGGCCGCCCCAGACAGACCCCCCGTCAACCACCTGTGGCCGTTTCTCGGCAGTTCTTATATGGCAGTCCCAGACAGGTTGGTCGTGTCTTAAGTGCCAAGACGTGGCTTCAAGGCTTCTTGGTGTGGTTTCTTCGTTTCTCCCGGCACCCCTCCCGAGAGAGCTGTCGAACGAGCTCGTTCGACGGTGGCACCGGCTTGGACGGCCCCGACGGTTGGACGTGTGACCCGCAGCCCTCCACACGTTGGGTGACGAATGCCCGGAGAGTGGGTGACTAGAGCCAAAAGGCAGCAGCTAAAACGGAGTCGGTCCCCGTTCAGTGTTTTTGGTCTTCCAAATATAGAGAGGATGTTAAGATAAGGAACGAAAAGAGACGATTCTTGCAAGAAATCGAGCACGGCCTAATGATGACAGCCTACCAATTTCCATTTTTGGGGGCTTCTATAGGTGGTGCTTGGATTTCTTCAACAGGATCGTCGCAATCGAAAACATTCACCTAGATGCTCCTGGACCCTCATATGCAGGGGTCGGACCCGAATCCTCGGGTCTGGACCATAGGGTTTGGTTCGGGACCCAGTCGGGCTGTGTGGAGCGATGAAACCGTTCCGTTTTCGTTTTCGCCTCCTCTTCAGCTGTTTGACACCGCCAGGATGCTGAGGGTTTGACGCAGGGAGGCCCAGGGAGTACAGAAGTGAACACCACAGAAGGCCACCGTTTCGTGACGACGCCAGGTAACACTATGACAAACACATCACATGGAAGTGGAGAACCCCGTGTTCGTTAAAGGAAACTAGTCTTCCGGGCCGGGACGTCCACGTAACCATGTGATGTGTTCGTCAGAGTGGCCCCTTTCGGTTTGCCATGGACCTTTTTTCCGGTGGTGCATGAAAAGGCTGGTTCCCCTACGAGCCCACGAGGAAGAGACCGGCCCCTCTTTTTAAGAGAGGTGGGATCTTTGGGAGTTGAAGTCAAAGTTTGGAGAAAAGATCTTGAAAATCCACCCAGACTTCAAGCGGGGCAAAGCCGAACGCCCAAAACGCTTCCCCCCTCCGGTTCTTCCGCGCGTACCGAGGCCTTTGGACTACGCCAAGCGCAGGAACGACGTGGAGGTTTGCTGTTCCAAGCCCGGTTTGGCTCAGGGAGCTCCCAGTGTTTCGGTTTTGGATGCTCGGAAACACAGGTGGCTGAATGTGCGCACACCGGTTTAGTTAGGAACTCAATTTCAGCCGATGTTGCTTGGTTTTGATGTGCTTTTTCTTTCTTAGTGAGTGGCTGAATTGAGTGTGTTCTTGTTGCTCGCTGGACAGCAAATCCAAATGAATTTGAACCACTGAAGCGCCAAAGAAGTCAGATATCACCAGCAGACGTCTTAAACAACAGACTGGTGCAACTCGGCAGGGAATGAGGAGATGAACTCCGGAGCTAGAGGTTCCCAGACTAGCAAGTGCTATCAAACGAGGTTGTGAGAACTAGTCCCTGACCTAAGCGGTTGTGACCTCCTGCCTATTTTTAGTCCTCCTGGCCCTGACTTTAATCTGTCACTAATTAAGAATTCATCTCGGCAAGGCGCTGAGTCTTCTGACACCATGCGTGCGAAAGAAAGACAGACAGAAAGACCGCCTTCTGCAACAGTTCACCCTTGCCACCCTCAGCAGCTGGCCTTGGAAGTCGACACGTCGGTCATACCCACCCCCGGTGGGTCTGACCGATCGTCCCGTGGCCTCCCGGACCCCTTTCGGCATCGTCTCTGGCCTGTCCAAAGAGCGACAAGACAGGCCCATATGCGTTTATCGGCCGGGCCGGGCCTTCTCGTGGAAATGGTTGGATCATCCATGCAACCAAGCCAGTACTCAAGTACTCTTGTGAACAATTGGGAGATGCTATTCGATATCGAGTGAAGTCGGCAACAGATGATCAGCCAAAGGTCCTTCTAGCATCCAACGGAGTCCGGTCTTTCCATGTCCAACATAACAGGAGAACCTGCCGCACCGGCACCGGCCGCGCCCGTGTGAGGCGGTTCAGAGCATCACTGCTGGTGAAGCACTGGTAGCAGTCACCCGACGGAATGGGGTGTTTGGATCGGTAGGAGTCCGCCGGTGAAGCAGGGGCGGACCCGTGGACCGACTGGTTGGTGGGGCCCGTTATTTCGTTTGCAAAGCGCTCTAGGCTTCCGACCTGGTGGAGTGTTGGGACGAAACCGAGGGCTGTCGGGTGGAAAGGGTTCTTCAAGTGAGGGAGCTGTTTGCCCAAGCCCTGGTGCTGTGAACCAAAAGCCTCCAAAACCATTCGTCACGGTTTTTCGCCACAGCAATGGTGGGTGAGCGGACGACCCAGACATCATTACCCAGAGAAAGGCCATGTTGAGTCAGGCCAATCCGATGATTTGGGTTTGGGGAGATGCATTCGCCGCTGGTCGTGCCTGGTGCAACCAAGGCAGAGGAAGCCTCCGAAGATGGCGCAGGACCGCCGACTGGCGGATGGAATGACGAATGGAAAAAAAAGCACTGCAAATTCAGAAAGAAATGTATCATGTACTCCACGCGGGACTCTCGAGTTGGGAGGCAATCTGGAGAGGAACCTGCGACTCTGATCGAACGGAACCTGCGATGTGTCCACAGATCGAACTTGGGGTTTGACTGTTCTACGACACACGCCTGGGTGACATGGATTTGAGCGAGAACAAGTGAAGATCTTCCTAATGTGAAAACGAAAGAGAGAGACTCTTTCCCAACAGCTCTTTGCCCGTGGGAAAAAATTAAAGAAATAGTAAAAACGCTTCGAAACAGCAAGACCCCTCTCCTCTCCACAACTACCCTCAGGCGGGACTTGATCTAAAGCACTTCTCCACCCTCGTTGGTCGGCAGGAGCCGGCGGCTTCAAGAGCAGTGCGGCGTTCGGGCGCCGAGCTTCAGTCGCTGACAGCGGAGGAAGCCACGGAGGGCGAAAAGGGCAGTGCCTCGTTTCTATCGAAAACATACTACAACTATCTACCAGGACCCTCCAAAGGGTGCCCATTGGAAGCCTATATAGGTAGTGTAGGGTAGTCCGGCCAGGACACCCCGACAGGAGGGTCCAGGTATACATATCTATACAAATTAATCGATTTGAATGTTCACTCACTCTTCAATGGATATGTTTGGAATGGGAAATCTAAACGCACCCCAACCTGATCGAAGTCTTGTAGACCATGCGACAGCCCCTAGACTCACCGCCTTGAGGTGGAGCGAGGCCGACGAGCTGGCGGCTGGGCGGCAGGATGTGGAAGAAGGCGAAGACAACGCACGGGGGCGTGACGGCATCGGCCGGGGGCATCGTCAGCGGATGGCATCGGGGGCGGATTTGAAAAAAGGGCATCGGTGGGTTGAAAGAGTGCACTGAGAATTCCTACGTTTGAGGTTCCTTTTTACAGCACGGTCGTTTTGCCTAGTTGTGTGGTGTTCTGGAGTCCTAAACTGGAGGCAGAACTACCCTAACTACACTCGAAGTTTGACTTTTTGGAGGGCGCTAGCAGAAAGAACGACATGTTTCAAGATTGTCTCCAAGAATTGGCGACTTCCCAATCATGGTATGGAATGTGCGATTAGGGTTCTATCAGATTTGGTGTCCACTAGAACTACAACTGCTTCATTGCAACGGAAACGGTGAGCCCCCCTTGCCCTTGGTAGTGGATATTCTTCCGCCATCCAGTACTTCTTAAGAATTCTTGGCATCCCAAACTCCAGGTGGGTGAAATCCGGCAATCGAATGACCGGAGATGAACTGCTCCGTGCTTGGATGAACCGGTTGCCCGCCCGGTCAAAAGGGTCGGTTTTCACCACCTGGCCGCGTCAGACGTGGCGTTGACGCGTCCGTTTGCCCACCTCCGTAGGCCTCGCTGCGCCGGGGCTCAGCACCGAGTTAGTGGCCGCGGTGATCGTGGCCGTGGCCTGCGGCGGCGTCTCGGCCAAGAGCCTCCGCGGGGGTGGGAGGGTGGGAGGGAAAGATGGGCGGGGGCGTGTGGAGCCCTTGGGAGTGGAGAACGGGAGGTTTCAGAAAAAGAGGTTTGGGAAGTCTTTTGGAAACTCAGGGAGCTAAGGTGGACCTAAGATGGATCTGGAGGAAGGTAACCTATTTGAAGACCCGAAGTTGGAGGGATTCTGTGTAAGGAGGAGCCTCCAGGTCCCCCTGATCAGATCTAAGCACCGTAGGTGGAATCGGTTTCCATTCCACACCGCCTCAAATCGTGACCCAAGTGGACGTTTTCTTTCAATCCACATCCATATCTCGGTCGCACCTTTTTCTGGCTTCCCTAGTTCTTTTGAGTGCTAAGTGTCTAGCATTGAAGATGTTCAAGATGTTTGAAGCAGTCACATGACACGGAGGAATAGTTGCGATGATTTCTTTGAGAAGGCTTGACGACTCACACCAGTTCAGGGCTCAAATGAGAACAGGCACCGGGCATACTTCTGCTTCCCTGCCATGGATGGCCAGCCATCAGCATGAGGTCTTTGTTTGGTCCTCATCGTCTACATGCGCGGCCGCTCAGTACTTACTCGTGTCCTCAATACGCGCGACCGATTTGCGAACGTTGAACGTCCCATGGGTGGCGAAGGGAGGATGCAGGTAGGAAGAACATAGCAGGACAAAGGTGCGGGTCTATTGGGGGAAGTTAAAGCCCTAAAGATGTGGAAGAAAACAAAACCTATTCTTCCTCAATGTTCACAATGTCCTGTCATTGTTTGGTTGGTTTGTTCCGTTTCCTGTTCTTCCTCTTCTCTTTCTTCGAACCTTCTCACCCAAAATGGGTGAGACCTCCACAGAGATGAGCTGATATGGTGATATCATGAGAACCTCCAGACCTTTCTTCCCCAGACCTTCCTTCCCCAGGGTGCGGCGGCGACTGGGCCGCCGGGGAGCCAAGCCGGGGAGCCGGATAACACGCCAGCCACTGCCCCACACTTCATGGTGGGAGGGGGAGTGGTCCTTCGGTTCCAGGTGAGTGGTGAACTCCTTTTGGGGCATGGTCAAGCATGGCGGGATCTCCCGCTCTTTCTCATGACTCATTGCTGTGATCGGGGTGCAAACGAAACGGAAAAGGAAAGAACAACAAGAAAGGTCAAAAAAATATTCGGCCAAATCATATAGAGCCAATATTATAGAACAAATCCTTCTTCTTCGTGGTCGTGGAGGACTGGCGTAATCCACATTGGCCGTTTTTGGGTCGCGCTCGCTGTCAGCAGGTCGAAAGCGATCGACGGTGGCCCAGGAGGCGACTGGCGGGACCAGGACGTATTTGGGTTGAACGTGGTGAACGGACGGACGACTTCGTTTTTGCTGATTCTTCCCATTTCTTCCCCATAGTTTCTGAGGTGAACTACTACTGCAACCCCTCCTTAGAACCAAGAGAAAGCAATTTTTATATTCTATTTCTTGGAAGTAACAGTTGGAAAAAATCATCGCTATTTTTGAGAAAGGTCTTTACTAACCATCATCCTCCAAACGGGCCCTGGTAATGGCAAGTTGGGGGTTTGTCAACCGCAAGTGGCTGTTTTGTAGGGATTATTTGGTGCAGATCTTAGGTGCGAGGAAGCATGATTCGGTGAAAGGAGCTTTTGGTGAAACCGAGAAAATACGCTCAACAGGGCAAATGGACCAGCCGCGGTGGCACCAGCTGGTCCATTCGGGAGAAGGATGCTTCATTCATGCTTCGCCCAGGTGACTTTTGCGCTCCGCCCCAATGTAGATGTGTCTCTTCGCGGGTGCCCACTGTTTAAACAGAGGTCACTGTTTTAACAAACATGAGGGATGGAAATGAAGGCCTCGCTGCTTCTTGCTTCATCACTCCCGGGCCCTCGTAATCCGCCCCGCAGCCCAAAGCAGCTGCGCTAGGCCAAGCCCGAGGCGGTACGCCGCAAGGAGGTTTGGATGGAGCAAACAGCCGAAAAGCTCAGCAGTGATAGAGCCATTACAAGTGTCCTTTATGTTGGTAGGCCAAAGGGAATGGAGTGCAGGAGGCGGAGTTCACAGTATTTCACATTGTTGACATCAAGTCATTCATGAAAAAGTACACTAGAGTGCATATATGTTTGGAGTGGAATCAACGTTGTGTGCTTCAAAAGGCTTCACCATGTTTGAGGCATATTGAAGACACAATTGACACAATATGCTTCTGGTTGGTCTCAAGATGTTTGTGCTTCAAGACTCTGTTGGTCTGATTGGTCTGTTTGTGCTTCAATATGCTGGAGAGAAGACTCTGGTTGGTCTTCACCGCCGGCCTCTCCGCTCAGGAAGCGTTGCCGAACCGAACCCAGCGACGGAGACGGGCTGCCTGGGTCGTCGATGTCCGGCAGAGGCAGTGGAGTAGGTGGGCGAACGATGGCGAAAGGGACTTGTGTAAGGAGGACCGTGTCAGGGGAGTTGGTTTATGCATCAATGCGGCTGCTGCCGCATGGTGCAATTGACAAGGGGTTAGTCATGGTGATGTTTGTAATGTCTCAGTTATATGATTCATGTCTCAATTGCTGTACCAACGGCGCAAATGGCCGCGATTGGTGTCCTTCGCACCGTGCAATTCGTCGACAGCCAAGGCCCCGAGGAGCGACCAAGCCAAAGCAATGCCAGGGGCCCAGTGGGATCGAGGCCTAAGTCGCAAAGGTGAAGCTGTGGGCAAAGCCGTTCCGACTCAGAAGACCAGGAACCAGGTGAGATTTGGAGATTAATGCAAACCCCGGTGGCTTTGTGGGCTCGGATTATATAACTAGGGGGGATTAATCCTGACTTTGCATTAGTGTTGGGGATTCTCAGGTTTTCTTGGGAGTTTCTGTGCTTGGGGGCACCTGGAAAAGGCATCTCTTTTTGTTCGTTGATTCGAAGGAGGCAGGTTAGTTGCAGCAGAAATGGACCACCTTTCAGGATTGCCACGGCTGTGTCCGACCCCATCCTGAAGCACCAGTTGGCACTGGAGGAAGAGGAAGGAAGAGACTGAGTGACTACCGGTTGGCCCTTTGAAAGGAAAGCAAAGAAAGATCTTTGCGGACTTTAGTCTTCAGCTTTGCGATGCTGGGTGCCCTACCTCGCCGCCATGGGCGCTGTGGTGCCCGTGGTGGAATCTACTTACATTGGATCTTGGGCCACGTGGAAATGCACTTTGTACCGACAACTGGCAACGCTTTCATTGGGATAGAGCCCGAATTAGTGGCCTTGAAGCCAAGCTTGCTGCTGGCGATACCACTCAGGTTGCTGTACGGCAGCAGAACACCTACCCCTTTTTTAAGGGGGCCAGTGCACAGCCTGATTACAGGCCACATCCTGACAGTCCATGGGACCACCATATATGGCCCACATTGACCCCCTGGCACCACCCCTGGCCTGATAGGTCAATATGCCAGTCCCATGGGGCGTGTCTGGGTTATACTCCGACCGCGTTCTCCCTACTCACCGCGTGGCTACCCCCCCGTCAATAGCGTCGATGCTCCACGTCAAGAGCGTCAACCAGGGAGAGCATAGCATAGAGGCTGGTCCTCATTGCTTGCTGTATAGGAACGAGGTAGAGAAGCAAAGCATGTTCTATCATGTTCTATCAGAGGATTCATCAATAGGATTCAATAGGACAAGTCTAAATTTCAGACATAGGACAAGTCTGAAGGTCTAATGAGAAATTACTTTCAGGACTGCTTCTGTGACGACTGTACGAGTTGGTTGCGTCGCTTCGTTTTCCCAGTACATTCCTGGAATGCCCTATCCCATTACCAGTAAGACTCAGTAAAAGATGCTCTTTGTTTTGGGGAAATGTCTTTACTGCTCACGATCATCCATTGTTGCTGGTAATGGGACATGCCCAACCCTAGCCTATATCCACAGAAGTTCCACCAGACGTTTCATCAACCCACCTCATCACTTCCATTGAACCCTGCCCCCCCCCCCACCAGATCTACCAGATCTACCAGCCATCTTTTCACCTTCCCTTCGGCGACAGGAAGTGCATCCACTACCAGGCGGGAGCCAAACGTGCGAACACCCGTCGGACACTGTGCACCTCCACGCCTCCTCACAAGGAGATCCGTCGTTGATCACCTGCGGAAAGACCGAACCTTTGGGGGACGTGGAAACGTGGGCTCTGGAAAGACCGAATTGTCAGCATTCATCACTGATGAGTCATGAGTCTCTCTGGGGTAGGCAAAGACGGTGGTTTTTAAGTGCAAAAAGAAAGCTCAGAAGACCCCTAGCAACTCAGTTGCGGCGTTTGCTCCAAGGCGTTTTGCTATGCCACACCACTCACCGTCCGCCATCCGCAGCGGCCCCCTCTGCATGGTGGCGGTGCCACTTGAGCCAGGCAACTCGCTGAAGTCCTCTCCCGCCGTGGTGGTCCGGGCAGCCTGGGGGTCTGACGAAGGCCAAGAAGCCCTGCAAGCCGCCAACCTCCTGAGTGATAGAGGCCCCCGCGCACTTTGCCAAGAACATCTAAACTACCAAAGAGGTTCAGCAGATGAAACTCCTGCTTCTTTGCCAGGATATACAAGTACATGTCTCAATTCCTAAGAGATGGAAATGAGATGTTATGGCCTCCAATCTGAAGGACTTCCAATCGGTGCTTGCTTCGGAGCGGATCCCGACGAACGCGTCCGCCTCCGTGTGGACGACGCGTGGACGGAACATGTCGGTCGTGGCATCGGGGTTGGATGCAGGACAGGAAGCGAAACAAGGCTTTTGAGGTGTTGGAAGGCGTGGTTTGTAAACTGCTTGGGTGTCTGTGTGTGGCACTCAACTCAGGCATAAACAGCAGGCGTTGTTGCTTGAAAGGCCGTCGTTGGAAAAATCTGAAAATCCTTAAATCCTGCATGGTTGCCGTGGACAGGACGGCTTTAGGATGCCAGTAGTCGGACCACCGTCCTCTCAACCGCTGCACCGAGGTCCAAACGGCGCCATCCTCGCGTGGAGGACGGGTGCCCACCATGCTGAACCTACATGTAGGGATGGAAGGGATGGAAGGGAAGGGTCACCTGTATACAGTGAAACCTTTGCGCCTGTATCTGTATGGAAGGTGACCTGTATTTGTATAGGTCACCTGTATACGAGTGAACAGATGGTTCGTCAAAGTTCATCTAGACTCTTTGATTGAGAAACCTTTGCGCCCAGTCTGCGGAGTGCAGCAGCACGCTTCTGCAGAAGTTCTCGTTCGTTCGTCTTTTAGCACATCAACAACATCAACATACACCAAGCAGCCAAGCAATACCCAAACACTCAATGGGACTCGCGGATTGGACCGCTGATTCCCTTACACGGAGCGCTCCAAAAAGATACAGACCCCCCCCCAAGTGTGTGTACTGTTTTCTCGTTATGCAAATCTGTCAGTCCCTTTCAGGTCCGTGGGACTGGAAGGACTGGGTCCTCCGGTTCAGGAGAGGGGCCTCCATCTCCACAGGCGGCATGGCGTCGTAGCGGTGCCGTAGCACCGCGCGTAATGGCCCCGCAGCACTGCTTTGCGGACGGGTGGCAAACGGGAGGAGCCCCAGAAGTCATGTGATGTGTTTTGGGGTGCTTTTGGAATACTCCCAACAGACCATCGAGCATAGCGCAGCCACTGGCAGAGGAGCCCCACATCAAGGCATGAAGCGCAAAAAGTGTGTTTGGAATAGGGGGACCCTTCAGTTAGAGGCCAAGCACATGGAAGAATGAGCTAAAAAACCAGTGGTTGGAGACTCTCCTATTCCAATGCACACCCATGTTGTTTCAACTTGTCTCGCTCGCTTTTTCAGGACATCCATCGGTTTGGAGTTGTTGAAAGCATCCAGCTTGGCAATAGATATTTTCTCGCCCTACACACTGTAGGTGGCTTCACGAGATGGCCATCCAACTACGGAAGATGGCCGCCAACCCACAAATCTGAACATTGCCTTCCATAGTCCTCTAAGAGTCTATGTTTAGGTTTAATCTACATGTTTCTTTGGAATTTGTGTGTCTTTTGAGCAAATCCAAAGAAACGTTACCGCCCTTTAGAGGTGCTTTCTCACCTCAGTCGACTCTGCGTCGACATGTCGACTCTTTTGGAGATCCGAACAGGTAGACTTGAACAGGCCAACCCCCCAACCCCCGAGCCTCTCCGATCCATGTCGGGTTCCCCGCCTCGCCGCAGTCTGGGGCGAAGCACCACAACAGCGACTTGGTCTGGACGCCGCAAGTCGAGGGGTGCCCCAAAAGAGAACAACCTCAGTCTGGCAATGAACACCGCGTAATTGTTTGGTGTGAACCCTGCAAGCTGATGAAAATCGATGTTCCCATCTTTGCTGGGAAACGTCGCCAATATGGTTTTATGTGTTTTTGACTGTGTTTTTGTATAAATATAGGGTAGTGTAGTTCCCTTGACCACCTTCAATATGCTCGTTTTTGAAATCAAGGTAAAGCTGAAAACGAACTGAAAACTCGTATCGGGGTTCACTATGTGGGTTCCCAGCTTTGCACTACTGGCCTGGCAATTCATTCCCTTTGACTGCCCTCAAGCGTACTCCTTAGTCCTTCTGGTTTAGAAGGGATTTCTTAGCAAAGGACCTACGAAGTAAGGACAGCCAAGTTGCCGACTTAGCAGAGACTCCATCGCTGGGCAGCCTGCGTCGAAGATGAGACCTTTTGACCTTGAACCGACCAGAGACCTCTACAACTCCACACTTTTGTAGCGTTTTCACGTGCTGTGCACCGACTGCGCAGCGTTCGAGGTGAAAAGCAGGCGAAGAAGGGGAAGGTCAGTCAAGGTCCGCGTCAAGCTGCCAAGGCGCTCTCCGGGCCATGGCTGGAACGACCGGTGGTGATTCAGAGATGTATTCCTTTAGAATCTTTAGAATGACTCCAATGTTCAGCTGCTGTGCTGAGCACTTCCAATCACGTTTTGGGATAGCTCAAGACGCTCGTTTCGCAGCCTCCAAAACCTGAGCAGACGCTCAGCATGAACGGGTCCCCTGCGTTCTCACTTGCATGGACGTGGAAGAACTTGCTTCCTTGGAGGTTTCAAAGGACTACGAAGAGGGTGGACCGGGTGGACAATGTTCGTTTCGTTTGGAGCGAACGATATCAACGAGACCGGCGACGACCGGCGACAGGCGCCGACCTTCGCCCTGTTCGGAGACCGGGCCCAGGCAGAGTCTCCGGCGCCGGCACCTGCGCAGAGGCTCCGACGAAGGAAGTGGTTGCGAGGAATATATGGACATGAGACGATGGTAGATGAAACAGAATCAAAAAAAGATCGATATTGAATGGTTGAGGATTTAACTGGGCGTTGATTTCTCATCGGCTGCTGCGACTCGTAGAATCTCGTAGGGAAGTCTTTGATTCTGGTCATGGGACTGATCGCCAGCGGTCGCCCACCTGGGGTGGAAGGACTTTTGTATTTTGGGGGAGTCTTCCTGTAGACAGGGTCAGGCCCACCGTTTTGCCTCACAAATACGCATGACTTAATCCTTTCAAGTCTCCGTGAGCCTTTTATGCTTGCTCCAACAGAAGTCAACAGCAAACTTGAGCTCTGACGAAATCTATGGAGGCTGCGATAGGAGACAAGGGGTGTCTACGTGAGGTCCTTCAAAACCCAATCTCCACCAGTTCAGCTGATCTCCAGGGGCTCGTTCTGACGACCAGCGCCACTCTTCCACCCCGCCCAGGCCGGCGCGCAAGGTCAAGGCCAAGCCGGTCCGCTGCTGAGAGGCCGCAACTGACGGGTCGACGGAACTCGTCACGGTTTCTCCGCGTCGGGCGAAGGAAAAAGGACGCTGCCTATAGCAGGAGAGGGAGCAAATCGATGGAGTAGTCCGGACAGGAAGGGCTGTCTTCCGATCTTTTTTTCGTGGGTGTCGCCTGAGAGATCTCAGGCCAAAGCCTCATTGGTAAGTAAATCAGGATCAAGACCGTCCACCGTACCAGTTGAGGTCACTACATGGCTCACTACAGAAAGAGAAGAAAGAAGTGAACCCTGGGAGTCAAGTCGACTATAAAAAGAATGGTCTGAAGAACGGGGACCTGAGTACGGGAACTTCCTGGTCCTATCGTCGAACTGGACTTCCGACGGGTGACAGGGAACTCGTCACATGGCGGAACCATCCGACGTCCGACCCCCGAATCGCTCGGACCGAGTTTCCGCCGGATCGAGGTCCACGGTCCACGTGTGCGGTCCGTTCCGGGGTCCACGGAGTCGGGCCGCGCGACCAAAGAACGAGAACTGGTCGACTTGGTCGAATGAGCTACAGAACAAGTTCTCAATGACAAGCAATAACCAACCAAAGATGCCCACCAAAAAAAAGAGGACCAAGTGTTGAGGCATGAAAGCTTCAGACCTATCTGCAAACACTGGACCGTCACCCATGCTCTTGAACGCTTTCTCCTCCCCCCCAAATCCCATACCATCTAACACGAACTCCAGCCCATCAAGGTGAACGATGTCATCGCCCCAAATCGAAGACCACTTCCGTCCGGCTGCGTCGCGGAGGGTTCGCGTTGGCCATGGAGCTGCGGTTGGAGGGGTGACAAGAGGCCCGGAAAAGGGGAGACAGATGCAAAAGGAGAGTGGAAAGCAAGCAGGTGGAAGTAGTGGTTTCATTTTGAGATAGAGATGGACCATCGGCAACGGCCAGCATGAGCAAATTTGAATCTTTAAAGCTCACGTCATGTGTGCTTTGTGCTGATGAGTTTGTGGCCCGAGCATTTCAGAAGATTAGGCCGGCAAGTAGCCAGATCAAATCGGTACCTCGGGTGTTAGCACTATGATTGTTGGACACAAGGTCAAGCAGGAAGCCAAAGAGGAGGTAGGAGAAGGTGAGTCCATGTGGGAGGACTTCTCAAGTGTAACTGACAAGGAGCTCCAAGAGATGAAGGAAGAGATGCTGCAGGATGCAGCTACCATCGTTGGGCAGGAGGTCAAAGAGGAGGTTGAAGAGGTTGCCACGAACACCGATGCAGTAGAGCCAGCAATCCCTCCCACTGCCAAGCGTCGCCGCCAAGCTCGATGGGAAACACAAAGAAAGCTAGCAGCCCAGACTTTGATTGAGGCTTTCGTCAAGATGGACGAAGCCGCGCCGGTGCCAAATCAGATTCCATTCCCCCAATTTGGGAAGGGTGTCAAGGCGCTTCAAGATTCTGTCCCTCAAGCTCCCGAGGCTCCCGCGACATCAGCGAAACCCGTGCGCTTCCGGAGACACAACTCGGGAAAGCAGAGTGGGGTTCCAAATGTGACGTGGAACAAGGGCTGCTGGGTGTGGGCAGTCAATTTCCCACTCTTTGACAAGAAGGGTAAGAAGCAGGGAGCACGGACGTTCTCCCTCAGCAAGTTCATGAAGAAGGGCCTCACCGAGGCCGAAGCCGACACGGCCGCGCTGGAGGCGGCCAAGGCCTTCCGAGCCGAGCTGGTGAAACAGGGCATCCTCAAGGAGCCGAAGCCCGTGGACCCCAACTTCACCAGCGAGGTGCCGGGGGTGAGGTGGCATAAGCCAGGAAAAAAAATGGCTTGTGCAGCTCGCCCCCAAGAACGCCAGGAAGGGGCCAAAGAAGAAAATTCATGGCGGCTACTTCACCGACAAGGCTGCCGCCGAGTCCAAGGCCTTGGAGCTCGCGAAGCTCCACGGCTTGGAGCGCAAGGTGACGGCCGTGGGTCGCTTCTCGGAGCTGCCGATCTTCGAGGCGAAGGTGCCCTACCCCGGGGTGACCTGGGAGCGGAGGAGTCAGAAGTGGCGTGCCCAGTGCCGAATCAACGGAAAAAATCAGCATTTTCATGTGAAGCCGAAGGACCACAGCGAGGCCGAGCTCGAAGCGTCTCACAAGAAGGCCGTGGTTTGGAAGAAGAAGCAGAAGAAGGAGCGGGTGAAGGCGGCGAAGCCAACGAGTTCAAAGAAATAGTCAAAAAGAGCGTCTCAGCGACTGGATTTCCCCATCCCACATCAAGGTTCTGGTGTACTTCCCATAGTTTTCGGGTGTTTCTTCGGGCTTGGGTTTTCTTGAATCAACCCTGGAAGTCAAAGACCATTTTAAAAAAGCTTCATCTGGTTTTGTAGAGGTTCAGACCCTCAATGAAACAATGGTTGTTCGGTATTGCAGGTCTGTTGGGAATTTCCACAGACCTGGGGAGTCTCCTGAGGGGATTTAGGGGATTTAGCCTATTTCAATACATGCCCCATTTCAACCCGACTGGTAGAAGTACAAAGACCAAAAGGACAATTCATATCAGGGCACCTAAAGACCATGTTCTTGATAGTCTTTGACTCACAGGGTATACCCGTATACCTTCATTCCTTGAGTGTGAAGGGTGTCGTCTCAGCTTCGGATGCAGTCATGTCCTCTGTGTGCACTTCGACGAACTCGTGGTTCATCTCTCATCCTCCGTCCAAGCCTGTGACCTGTGTCATCGTTTAAGCGGACTGAGTTGACCGGAACAAAGGAATTACAGGGGTGTCTATATATATATATATATATTGGGTTTGTCCGAACTCACCTGTAGAGCCGTCAGTAAACAAGCAAATCACTATTCTAGAGAAAGGCCTCTACTACCTAACCATCATCCACTGCTACTGGTAACGTACATCATGGAATTCAAGAAAGACTTGTTGAACTCTTAAGGATGTTTGATTCGGTAATTTGTTGTTTTTGGTATTTTGTTTTATCCTCAGTATTTCCCCATCCTTGACTACTTGACTGATGTGGTCACCGTTTTGCGCCCAGGTGTGGTGCTGCCCAAGCTGCGGTCTCCGGACGATGGTAGCGAAGAGATGCTGAAAACGCCGGGTGGTCCGATTGAACCTGGGAGCCGGTTCGTTGGTGGAGTCGGTGTCGGGTCGTTTCCAGTGGCGGTCCTTTTTTGGGCGGTGTGCAGTTCTTGCCCTTTTGTGAGGGAAAGAATCAGCGTGGCGGAAAGAATCAGGTATCCGCCTGAATCACGTTAGATGAAAGGCAACCGGGACGGTTGACGGTCCTCCGCGTGTGGCGCATGTTCTGCAGCTGATTTCGCAGGTGCAACCTGCAACACGTCATTTCGATTAGAGAAGTGACCAATACCAGGGGAGACACAAGATGACAGTCTTTGTTTGATCAAGAAATATCTAGACCCAATCTTGCCCAAAGAAAAAAGGGAAAGATGTACTGCAAGTATTGAGTTCAGAAAGTATCACTCCATATCAGAACTAGACTGTCAGCAAGGCCGAGAGCACACTCCAGCTGCTCAACATGAAGGAATTTCCTGGGCCAGTCACATCAGAGACCATCTTCTACAAACGACGTGATCTGAGCGCCGCTTTCCATGTCCGACGCCCAGACGTCCAAGAGCCATGGAGCCGGACGTCGAATGCCCCGACGTCGATCCAGAGACCTTCAGCGAGAAGGGCTTCACCATCCTCCCGGCGCGGCGTCGGAATCGACAAGCGACGCGCGCTCGGACATAGATCGAGTGGAAGACCAGATGGAACATGAAAAAAGAAGCCTCCAAAGAAAGATGTTCAGATGTTCAGATGCTTTGAAGAACGCTGCATGAGTTCTTTGGTACTTGCTCTTCATGTTCATTTCTGATCACGGTCCGGCAGGAGTTGATCGCACCAAAGGTGTGCGAGGCTCTGAACGTGCGGCTCGAACACCTGCTGAAGGGGGCGCCTTGACGGGCAACAGAGGGAGGGACGGAGAGGTATAGACACTCCAGACAGAGTGTCTCGCGTATTTTGGCAGGCTCCTTTGAGAACCAGGAATGGCGGGAAGAAGTATAGATGAACACCTGCTTGTTGGGGGAGAATGCTTTTGTGTGGGCCTCCACAAATCAACACTTCGGAAAGTTCCACGGTATACACCCTTCCTAAAGATGCCCCTATGCTAGGGCCTCCCATCCCGGGCACAACACACCGGCCAACCATGTAGTACAAACCAAACCTGACTTCCCTTGGCGCGCCCGAATTCGAAACCCCCAAGCCAGTGCGAACCCGTGCCGCCATGTCCTTCCCGTTGCGCCGGAGGACTACGATTTGGGCGTGGCGCCGTCGAAGGTGCCGGGCGCCAAGGAGCTGCGGCGCTATGGCTCCGGCGGCAGCAAGGTCAACACCTTGAGGCAAATGGGGAATGCTTTGGAGGGAATGCGGAAACAATGGGTACATGCTACTGTACGGAAGATGGCCTCGAACCTACTAGCAATGGGTACATGCTACTGGTATACTTTCATCTTTACATGGTCTTTGATTTTAGCCTTTCTTGGTGTTCAAAGGGCCGGTTTCCTTATCCAAGGATCGATAGATACTGAACTCCGGACGGACCAGTGGTTGGTGGTGGTGGGGATGAGCCGACTGGTGTGTGTGTGTGTGTGTCTCCAGCTGTATTGAAGCTGTTGTTCTTGGGGTCCGGCTTTGTTTCTGTGGGACTGCTTTTTGGGATGTTGCTCGCGCAAAAGGGCAGGACTGACTCGGATAGTCGAACAGTCGGTTTCTTCAGTAACCTCTGTTGGTATAGAATCACACCCAGGTCCCTTCAATTTGGAGAATATATAAACATCATTAAACATCATGATTTATAATTACGTGTAACCATCCCAAAGCTTCACAGGGGAATGATTTTTGGGTTGCCGAAACGGCATGCTTGACATACATCAGAAAAGGGGTTGCTGGCCTTAACTGGAGGCGAAAGATTCTGCCAAAGAATCCTGTCTCCTTCCTTCAAGTCTTCCAGGGCCTCATTCATCCAGCTACAGGTAGTAGTCCAATAGACTCCAAATAGCTGCTGAGGATGGTCTTCTAGCTCAAAGTACTTCCTGAGAATGGTCTTTGGGGCATCCAGGACATCCTCAGGATGGCTCTGGACCCTTTGGAAGTTCTTTGGAACTGGTACTGCCTGTTTTACCCTACGCGACCTGTTCATCTCCACGACTGAATGGATAATGCTACTGTAAACATGTTTGGGTACGCTGCCCCCGTGACAGCGAGTTGGTTCAATCCATTTGGGTGAGTTGGTTCCGAGCTTTGGGATGAAAATGGCTAGTCCGACACGCGCATGGGACATGGGTGGACATGCCCGATCTCAAAGGCAGGCGGGCGGGTTGGCAGAATGAGGTCACCAAGATCGGCCGCTCTGCTTGCGCTCTCTCAAGCACCGTTCGACTCTGAACTTGAGACAGAGACGTGTCATGACACATAGACATCTACGATTCAAGCCATGGGTGGGAGCCCAGTTGATTGTTCCAGAGGGCTCTTTTTTTCCGGATGCAGCAAGCTGTAGGAGAACTCCAAGGAGGCCATGCTGATATCATTGGATGTAGGGTGGAAGACTGCACAGATGCTTGCTCGATTTGATGTGGTCAGCGTCTTGGTTTCAGACTGGCAACCTGCAGAATGCTTGCAAAAGCCCATCTATGATAGACATCCCAAGCGGCAGAAGAGATTTCTCACGGCGAAGAGAGCTGAACTATAATGTATATATGTATACATACCAGCACTACCCACCCTCCCTGCCAGGTCACCAATTGAGACCTCCAACGGGGCCTTTCCCAAAAGAGAGACCTGGCAGTGAGGAGAGAGAGGAACCTGAAAATTGACCTTTGGACGCTTTGGAAGACTATTTTCCTCTACAACCGAGTGGTTTTCAGGTTCTATGTTAATGTTGCAGGGCTCATTTCCCTGACTGGAACTGCGGAGATTCCATTTTCTGCGCTTCCGCCATGTCGGGCAGCAAGCCCCATGTGCTACCTTTGTGGCCATGAGTGTCCTGGTCGTTGAATGTCCCGCGCTGGACGTTGTTTGGTCCAGTTTCTTCAGCAACGTCGGGTATCACATGGTGTCGAGGTATTTGGGAAAAGTTTCGCTGGTGGGCCATGGGAGAGTATATCACTGATTCTGATGTGTTTTTCTTTTTATGCCGGAACCAGCCAACGTCCCAGGTTTGGCTCGCGGTCCTTGCCCATCCACGTGCCGCAATGTGGCCCGGCGATCGGTTTCCGCCGCTATCGCTCAGCGGCCACGCACGAAGGAAGGTGTGGAATTTCCTGTGAAGGCTCAGATCTACCCCTACACCGACTTCGTCGTACCTCCTCAGGTTCGGTATTTCTGGACCCTCCTGGCACCCGGGCCCCGGTCGTCCCACCGAACCGAAACGATACGGCACGACTGGAGGCTCAGATCTATCAACTTCTTTTGCCATTTGCCAACTGTCTATACTCAGTCCATCCATGTATGGAAGAAGTTACACACCTGCACCCCCTCAAGCGTCGGCGTGCTCGGTAGAGATCCACAAGTAGTGTAGGGTAGTCTATTGGAGACCTTGAAAGGAAGCTGCTTTAACCTGCTTTTTGCTGTTTTCGGTGATTGCTGGACACGAGGTCAAGCAGGAAGCCAAAGAGGAGGTAGGAGAAGGTGAGTCCATGTCGGAGGACTTCTCAAGTGCAACTGACAAGGAGCTCCAAAAGATGAAGGAAGAGATGCTGCAGGATGCAGCTACCATCGTTGGGCAGGAGGTCAAACAGGAGGTTGAAGAGGTTGTGACGAACACCGATGCAGTAGAGCCAGCAATCCCTCCCACTGCCAAGCGTCGCCGCCTGGCTCGATGGGAAACACAAAGAAAGCAAGCAGCCCAGACTTTGATTGAGGCTTTCGTCAAGATGGACGAGGCTGATGAGCTGCAAGTCTCGAAGATCAGGAGGGAGCAAGGCGACGGCGAAGCAAGCAGCTTTGCTGAGGGAGTCGAAGGTTTGATGTTTGCCGTGGAACAAGCACCAGAACAGGTGAAGCCAATCGAAGACACGATGAAGGAAGCCGCACCGGTGCCAAATCAGATTCCATTGCCCCGATTTGCGGAGGGTGTCAAGGCGCTTCAAGATTCTGTCCCTCAAGCTCCTGAGACTCCCGCGACATCAGCGAAACCCACGCTCTTCCGGAGGGACAACTCGGGGAAGCAGAGTGGGGTTTCAGCTGTGAAGTGGAACAAGGGCTGCTGGGCATGGGAGGTCAATTTCCCACTCTTTGACAAGAAGGGTAAGACGAGAGGCCGTACAAACCGGCAGTTCTCCCTCAGCAAGTTCATGAAGGAGGGCGTCACCGAGACCGAAGCCGACGCGGCGGCGCTGGAGGCGGCCAAGGCCTTCCGAGCCGAGCTGGTGAAACAGGGCGTCCTCAAGGAGCCGAAGCCTGTGGACCCCAACTTCACCAGCGAGGTGCCGGGGGTGTGCTGGGCGAAAGCGAGAAAAAAGTGGCAAGTGCTGCTCAATCCAAAAGGGAAGAAGCGGATTCATGGCGGCCGCTTCACCGACAAGGCCGCCGCCGAGTCCAAGGCCTTGGAACTCGCGAAGCTCCACGGCTTGGAGCGCAAGGTGACGGCCGTGGGTCGCTTCTCGGAGCTGCCGATCTTCGAGGCGAAGGTGCCCTACCCCGGGGTGACATGGGACCAGGCTAGGCAGCAGTGGCGTGCCCAGTGCCAAATCAACGGAACAAATCAGCATTTTCGTGTGAAGCCGAAGGACCACAGCGAGGCCGAACTCGAAGCGTCTCACAAGAAGGCCGTGGTTTGGAGGAAGAAGCAGAAGAAGGAGCGGGTGAAGGCGGCGAAGCCAACGAGAAGTCAAAAAGAGAGTGGATTCGAGCTATGCGTCTCAGCGACTGGATTTCCTCATCCCACATCAAGGTTCTGGTGTACTTTCCATAGTTTTCGGGTGTTTCTTCGGGCTTGGGTTTTCTTGAATCAACCCTGGAAGTCAAAGACCATGTTGAAAAAGGTTCAATAAGGTTCATCTGGTTTTGTAGTGTAAGCCCCTTAGTGAAACAGCTGGTTGTTCGGTAAAGGTCAAATGTTGGGAATCTCCACGGCACCGTCCATCTCACCGGTGCAGAGCTTTTGGGCCCCGGCCGACAGGATCGTCGATGCCTGGAAGGCGGACGCCTTGTCCTTTGGTGACGAGTGGCGCCGCGGAGTCTTCTCGTGTTCTCGGCGGTGTGGACATGGTTTTCATGCCAAAGCCGAAGTTCCTTCGAGGCGAAGGGCACCGTGTTCGATTCCATTGCTTGTGTTTGATCGGGTGCTCATTGGCTGCTCGTTACTGTTCATCCAAATGTCTTGAGGTCATATCCTAGAAACGGAGATCATATCAGATGATGGAAAGATGAGGCAAAAACATCGCATTTCAGAGCCCATACTTTCCATACTTTGAGATGTAGAAGATGGGAGCTGATTGAAAACGGAAAGAATCATCGAACATCTTTGGCTTTGTTCCATTTCTGCCCCTGGGCCCGTGAACGGCCACCCCACGCCCGATCGATCCGTAGCGCCTATCCGGCGCACCGGTGTGGAACCAACTCCCCTGGCTCCGGTGGTGCGGAAGTTCGCGGGAACCCTTCGGCCCCCTTCGGAGCCCATGGCGGTAGGTGAACATCACAAGCCGCAGTGATTTTCTGAAGCAGTTGAAACCAGTGGCTGACTCAAGCATTTGGCCCAGCCAGTGTCAATGTCCAATGTTTGTTTTTTTTGCCATTTAGCATTTTGCACGCAATGCCCTTCGTTCTTGGTTGCCCTCTAGCGCTCCCAGCATTTGGATCGTCTTTGCACCTCCCTAGTCTTCCATTGGCCATCGATTTTTTTGCGCTGGTTGGTAGTACTGGCATGTTGCCACCTGCATTTGCATAGTACTACACACATTGCATTGTTCCGTTCGTAGCTTCTTGCCAGTCGTGCCAGTTTCGCCCCGTTCGGTTCGCCTGGCCCGGCTGGTACGGACTGGGCGTCGCGATGCGCAGCCCAGGTTCCAGCGGGTGGTGCTCTCCCCGGTGCTGGGGCGCTTGGCGGCCACGTTGGGCGGCTGGTCCGGCGCGCGGGTGGCCGAAGACCAGGCAGGGGCCGGTAGCAACATGTGGGGTTTCGTGGAGTTTGGGTGCTGCAGCACACCTACTGATAAGCAGGTTGGTCCTTTTGGATGCCACCCACCCCTTTCGGTTTGGAGAAATCACCCTCGCCCCGAAGGTCTCTAGGCCTCTTTCGTTGAAGCTCCGGCTCTTCGGCACAGGTGTGGATCAAGCCGCCGGGCGCTGGCCCGCCGGGGGGCCCGCCCGGGCACGGGTGTGAAAGGTGTGTGGACCCCCGAGAGGGGTCGGGGGGGCGAGTAGAAGGAGGCGGATCATCTTCCACAAGACCTAGACCTATTGAAGCCAGTCGGAGTCAAGGAGAGCATCTCTCTCTCTCTCTCACCTTCGGAGGCCATCGCGAATCGCTACTAGGGTCTTCCACAACACTATTGAAGCCTAGGCCTGGGCATCTCTCTCTTCTCTCACCTTCCCAAGGCTGGTCTTCCACCGTGACTCGCCCTACTTCGACTTCGAGCCCGATCACGTCATCACGCGCCTTTGGCCGATCACGCGGACGGGGACCCGCTTAGACCGACCGGTCGGTGACGGTCTTCATGTCTTCCATATTGGGCATGAATGGCATTGGAACAGCAGCGAAAACATCAAATGCGCCATCGGTATGTAGAAAGTGAGTCGCTTGCTGAGCTAGGACGACTAGTTGCACCAGCCGAAACGTACACCTCGCTTGCTGAAGCGCCGTTGCTGACATGTTTAGTCACTGAAACGCCCCAGTCGTTCCACCCAGGTCGATCCATTTTGCTTCAGGAGTCTCTTAGTTGCTCGGTCTAGTGCAGCATCGATGCCACAAGCACCCCCTAACTACAAGCATTTGACCACATTACTGGCTGGTTGAATCCAAATATTCTGGCTGATGCTTTAGGCTTTGCGAGCCGTCTAGGACCACGTCGGGCATGGTTGAAGTTTGAAGCCCAGTTGTTGGCGCCGATATTCCGCATTTGCTTGATGGATATCAAGCAAGTGTGCCATGGTCAGCTGGGTGTCATTGCTGAGAGCAGTTGCGACCAAGAGAGGCTGAGCGCTTTAAGTTCAACTGCTTCTTTCAACCACCTGGCAAGCAATTGACAACTGGTTGTGGCTTGCGCTGATGGCTGCAGCCAAAGAGACTAGCGCAATTCATTTGCTGCAGTATCACTTGCGCGCTTCCGTTGGATCAATCTCAAGATGTCTTGCAAGTTGAAGAGTGAAGAGTTGGGAACTTCCTGACTGGCTGCATGTGTGAGACTCTAAAGGCTGTTAAAGTCGAGTTGGGACACCCATTGAAAGATGCCCTTTCGCGCTAAGGAACTTGAAGGGCTGCAGCTGCGAAGCAGCAACGAGTCCTGGGCTGACATGACTGAAGAGGTCCGGGTGTGTAGACACAAACGATTGGACCAGCAACGGCGTCAAGCTAGTACTTTTTACTTATCGACCACCTTGCGTTTAGCTTGCCATTTGTTGGAAGAGTTCAAGGTATTCTTCGAGGTCAAGCGAGAGATCTGCCGGGAGATATGCCGGGCGCAGCCACTCTATGACGCTTGGAAGGAGGCCGCCCGCTACAAGCCAGGACAGGGAGACGGACCAACCGAGGGGGTTGGCATGGCGAGCTTCATTGCGGAGGATCCAGCAGGTTACTCCAACATGAAACAGTGGGTCCTCGCCATCTGGTGCTGCACTGATTTAAAGGATTTCTAGTGTCCATGTACTTTCCTGGTATGGAGAACAGCCTGCACTTCCCTGCGCGACAAAATGCTGGAGTACAGCATGATGGAAAGTGACCTGGTCATGTACCAGGAACAGCTGAAGGAGTATGAGGAGAGGGATGCAGCAGCTGAAACCACTGAGCAAGTTGGACAGCGGGAGCAGTAACTTTAGGCTGAGGCTGGGGCTGTGGATTTACCAGACAGACCTTGCAGTCCAGCCTGCGCCTGTGGCTGGTACCCTCTACACGGCTGCCTTTCCTGCCGCCTTCACGTAGTGGGATGTACTTGGCATCTAGCACGTCACCTTTGGGTCGGGCAGCGGTTTTGGGGCGCTTGCTGGCTCCATCGCCCCAAGGATTTGGATCGCGTTGGATGCCATGACACCGGAGCTGGGACCCCTCGAGTGACCGATGGGAAAGGGGTGACCGGAGGCCGGGAAAAAAGCAACCAGGAACCCGTGTGGATGTAGTGGTTTCATCTGGAAATTCATGGACCGTTGGGTGGATTCCCAGCAGCCATTTGTCTCAAGAACTTGAATGACAGAGTGCTTCTGGTCTGTTTGATCGCACAAACACACAAAACGCAAGCAGCCTGTGTTTGGAGCAGGGGTTCGTTGTGTGAACTGGAATGAGTCAAGACCCCTTATGTAGAACGTGACCCTCCGACTCGAGAAAAGAGGAGTGGTGGGCCAAGATCGATAGGACTGGAAGATATATGCCGCCCCATTCTCTCCTTTTCAAGCACCCCCAATGTATGGAAATCTGCTAGACACATGCACGGAAGGCTTACCTTTGCTTCAGCTTGAGAGCAAAGCCATGTAAAAACTGTTGTTTTCCAGTCATCCAAGCTGCCGAAGCCTGCAGCGAGAGGATTCCGTCCGCTCGTCCGGGCAGAGCGGTGTTTTCTCGATCCATCCAGGTCGACCCCACCCGGAGCTTCTTGAAGTCCAACAATCCATGTGGGTATGTGGCCCAAATAGGGAGACGCCCAGCCCCTTAGAAGAAGGAAAAGATTCCAGCGTCTACCGAGTGGGCCAAGGTTTCCATGTTACAAACCCATCTGCCACCTCAAAACAAACCTCATACCTACCCAGTCAGACGCTCGGGAACGTTGCGTGCTTCGACCCACAACCATGCTCTCCACACAAAGCAAGTCAATCGCTCAAGGGTTTGGATTGGTGGGATTAGGAGAACGTTGCATGAGGACACGTCGATCTCCTTTTCCGCTTTCATCTCGGTCGCGGTGATCGACTAGTTCGTCACTTCCGGGGTTTGGACGGGGGGTACGGACCCGCCCCGTGTGTGGGTATAGCTTCTACCTACCTACTAGTAATGCCCCTGGCTCTTCCGTTCGCTTCCCGTCCTCTTGCCACGTTCGCTTCTAACGCCTTCGGCTCCGAAGGCCTCCGGACCTCGTCGGCGATGGTTTCCAGGTACGTGGTGGGCTCCCACCGCTGGGAAGGTCGCCGCGGTACGGCCGCACAGCTCCTTGGACGACAGCGGTACGGCCGTACGTGGTGGTGGTGACTGACACGGAGTTGCCAACGGGAGGTGTTCCTGTTTTGGCTGTTCATGAGGTGGTAAGGAAAGTGAACAGAAGTCCTAAGCAAATTCAAGCCAGGCAAAGAAGACACATCGTTTTCTACATGGATGCACACGATGAGTCTCCTGAAGCTTGCCACTGCCACATTTGGGAAACTGGTGTGTATGTCTCATAACGTTTAGTCAGAATGGGAGTCTGACTCAAGAAAAGACAAGGGCTATAATGTAACTCACAGAATCCTGGTTCAGAGGCATGGTAAAGCAACTGAGTAGGCCGAGTGAATCGTGGCATGTTTGCAAAGGTCCCTTACTTCCAAACCAGCTCAAAATCAGAAATGCCCGCAAGCCAATGCTCAGCCCTCAATTGCCAGCAATGGGGCACAGCTCGGGATGATATCCATGGAGATGTTAGCAATGAAAACAAATATTCCACGTACTTATATTCTTCAAAAGAAACCTCCCTTCTTCGCATGGCAAGTCACGGGGGAAACCCAGAAAAGACCAGTCTTCCACTGGTTCACATCACTTCGTTGAAACCGTGTTTTGTCGCCACCCGGCATGTTTGGGCTCGAACGTTGCGCGAACGCGCTCAGGGGGACCATCCCCTGCCTGGTAGTTGGCCGGGTTGGTGGAAAAGAGACCCTCCAGTCAGTTCGATGGACAGAAGACCAGTGGGAGGTTCCAAAGCCATGCGTCGTGGTGCCTTAGAGTAGTGTGTTTGATATTAGGGAGGCCATCGCTACTAGGGTGGAGGCCATCCCTATGGCGTTCCTGAAGGTTTGTGTTTGATAAGACAGCCGAGTCGCCACAGCGTCGTCAGGTTATCGATCTTGAACGTTGAAGCTATTGGCATGGAGACCAAAGACTTTAGCCACGTTGACTGAGCCTTCACCATCCAGTTTCAACACACTTTCCTCATGCGAAGTGGAGCTGATGGCTCTGGTGACTAGTGGCCTTTACGATTGACTGATGATCCATAGACTTCCCGCATAGAAGCGGCACTATGCGCCACTTATTTGAACCCCACCTTTCCTGTTCCGATGTCTTCAATCACACCCACCACCCCCTCTCATTGCGTTTCTCGGGGGAACAAGCCCACCAAACCCACCCAAGCCCACCCAACCGCAATCCCACCCACCCCCTTCACTTCCTCGTCACTTCCTCATCACTTTCACTTGCAGCAGTTCCAGGGTTTGACCCCTCCCATGGCCGAGCTGCAACCGCCTCGTGCAGAGCCGACCATGGCGGCGCCCTCGGCAGCTGCAGCGGTAGCGCCCTCGGCGCGGGTGATGCGGCAGCGCTTGGAGGATCCCTTCACCAAGCAGCGCCTGGCGCGGGGCCCCGAGCGCTCGAGAGAAGCGAGAAGCACTGCTCGTTTTGGTTCCAAGATTTGGGGAAGAATTGAAGGTGTTTTGTTTGAAAATGGACCTCCACCTGTGCAAAGCAAAAGTGGGAATGGAAAACTTGATAGGTGATATTATGATACATTAGACATTATGTGATGTTTGTGTGAATCTGTGGTTATAGGAAGTCTGGATAAGTCTGGTGTCAAGAAGCAACGCACATATTAGACGTATGCTGTAGGGTGCTGTTGTGGTTCAAAGCGACGCATTTAGTTGGAGGGCAGTCAAGTCACCCCTTCGATCCCGGTGAAGCTTGTAGATCGGATGTCTTTGGAAACGACGAGTTCTCCACGATTTCAAATGAATTCCTGAGCCACATCTCTAGTCAAATGCCATTCTGAAACGGAGCGTACCCGAAATCTATGCCATGTTCTTTCTTTGCAAAGCCAATTTCATCTCACCTGCATCTCCATCGCTGAACCAGTTGTTCTTCCTTTGCCTCCACCTGGTGGCCTTTGGCGCGGAGATTGCTGCCATGGTGGTGTGCCTCAGCCGCACATGGTGGTGTGCCGTAGCCGTCGCCGGCGTTTCCGTAGCGTCACGGTGGTTTGGCGGATCAGGTCCTATTTTCTGGCCTTTGTAGAGTAAATCCCCTGGCATGGGGAAGATGTCTTAATCTGTTTTCGGACTGTAAGGTGACTGCTGAAAATGTTCGAGGCACTCACTGACTCGCGTGACCCTCGATCCGGAGGGTCTCCCGTTCTGACCACGTCTCCGAAACCGAGCCAGTCAGTAGCGCCTTCACCACTTGGTATTTTTGGTGGTGAGTAGCGCCTTCCTGCGCCCCGGTGTTGTTGGGAGGAGTTTCTTTCCCGCGGACTCACGGGCTATTTGTGGTGAATTCTGAACTCAAGACTGCGCAAGATTGACGCCTGGGCTTGTCTTTCCAAGGTATTTCTTTTTCCACACGAGATGATTCCAGAGATAAATAGATCCGGATTCATCTCCACACTCTTGTCGACTTCAAAGACCTGAGACCAAACTTACCCCAAGACAAGCAGAAAAACAGAGCTCGATCCTAAAAGACTCCAGTCGAATTCACGACAAGAATCACAAAACGACCGACCGTGACCCAAGCCAAACAAAATCTAAGGTTCTTCTTCACCCGAGATTTGCTCTTCCTCTTCTCCTTGTTGGTCCCGTTCCTCTTCTCCGGGCTCTTCTGCACCTACGCGGCCTATCACTGCGAGCTGCCCACCACGCGCTCGCGACTGCTGCCGTTGAAGGATCGGCATTGGCTGCTGCGGCTGGTGCTGGTGGTGCCCATGGGCATCTTGCCAATGAGATCTACTAGGAACAAGTGCATCGCTACGTTCGTAACAAGTGCCTTACTAGTAGTAACAATGTTTGCTAGTAGAAACAATAAGAAGCTATAGAGTTAATTATAAAAACAAATACAAGAGTAATCTCTGACAACCAGGTGACCAATGGTGAACGCGATGACAACCAGGTTGTCCGTGAAGGAGTCCGTTTCTTTTGGTGGGGACTTGGACCCCAGTATTTGGTTGGTTTAAGACTGTTAAATGGCATATGGTTGGTTTGGATTGGGTTGAAATAGTCGTCTATATAGTCTGCTCTATTAAGGCACAAACTGAGGAGCTGCGTGGATCACTTCTTTCAACAGTGTGTGTGCTCCTAATAGCTTCTTGTTACTAGTAGAATTCTTGTTCCTAGTAGTAAGCCAGGAGCCCCTAGTAGCTTCTTGTTCCTATGCTTAAGGCCAGGGCTTATGATCATGGGTGCTCGCCGGCATGTCCGACCGAAGATTGGGAGATGGTCCGACGAAGGAACTCTTCCTGTCACTGGCACTTCGCGTCTTGCACAGCGTGAATCCCTGAGAATCGACCGGGGACAGAAGCAGCGATCGGACGCTACGAACGTAGCCAAGGGGCATCACGACTCGAACGGAGCGATCGGACGCGGAACCGAACGGGGCGCTCCTGGCCTTACTACTTGGTGTGAAGCACCTGGTGACCACCACCACCACCACGACCAGGGCAAGACCGTGAGGCCAATGACGGTCATACCATCCCAGTTTGTTCTCATTTCACTTGTGGGGAGCAATTTGGGTCCTTCTTGTAGAGAGAGAAAGAGAGAGACACACACATGAAGACTGGATTTCTGTGGGGCATATACGCAAATGCCTATACAGGACCACAAGAAACACGCACCGAACAACGAAAGGAAGAAGACTGATCCCGTTGGGCACTCCCACACACCCTTCGAGCAGAGCTCAACGGAAAAGGCCGCTCTCACGCTTATCCAAGGACTGCTGCAGGGTGTCATCCTTTGGCTGGCCGTGGAGGAGATGGGGTTTTCCGAATGATAACATGTATGTTTAATTGACAATGTAGGTAGTGCAGGCTGTGGGTTTCGTACGCCATTTTGGTTCTAGGGATCTTCGCACCACATGCGGGGATCAGCTCAAAGGTGGTGATCTGGAGTGGGAACCAGGACTCAGAGGGCCACACTTTGCCCCTTCTGAGCTTCCTGGCAACCACCTGGGTTACCACCTTAGTGGTTGGGGCTGGGCTGGTTGTGCTGCCGTTTGAGTGGCCACCAGTCTTCAGCATATCCAACCAGGGAGCCCTCCTTGCGTGGGAGCGGTTGGCCATCAGTGCCATCCGGTTTACGAACCGGCGCCGGGCCGTGAGGAATGGACCCAACCGAGGCCGAGCTCCAGGCGATAGGGAGCCTGGCTGATGCACGTGGTTGGGCCGGAGTTGATGGCCCCTTAGCGGACGCCTTGATGACCGCGCTGGGTGGCCCATTGAGAGTCAGAGAGATTGCTCTCATACCACGCCCCACCTGGGACGGTGTCATCGAGCACCTTGACCTGCAAGAGGCGGGAGACCCAGCACCACCTCGGAGAGCACTTACGCCCGTTGAGGTAGCTCGCACTGAGTCCCTCCGTCGGGTATGCTGCTTACGAGCCGGGCGAGCTGTGGACCAACCAGGCGATCGAGCACTACCTGCACCACCTGCGGTTTTGCCGGCTCCGTTCCCCCCTGCTGGAGGAGGAGCTGGTGCACTTGTGGGTCCAGCTGCGCAGGCCCGCAAGCTGAAGCTCAGTGCAGTGTTAGATCCAACCCTGGACGCAGAGATTCAACCCTTGACGGACGTGGAGGTTACCCAGATGTATGAACGCTACCGGACAAGATACGGTGACTTCCCGTCCACTGATGCAGATGTCAGCCGGGATCAACTAGCAGCCCTCAGCCAGGTGATAGCATCTGGAGTGGTTCCCTATGCAGACTTCTCCATCTTTGGTCCGCATGGACAGCGCCTGCTTCGAAGGCAAACCTTCCAAAGCTACACTTTGAATGTCTCCAATGGAGAGTGGTCGAGGAAGGAACAGCCCGGGCCCTCGTCCTTCTATGGGTGGTACAGGGCGTGGCGCTGCTTTCGAACAGGCATGCTGCTCCTGGAAGCGGCGGAGGCAGAACGGCTCGACTCATATGCAGAGCACATAAGGGGCTTTGTCACCCAGTTCGGGGAGGAGACCTGGAGCTTCATATGCCAAGCTGATGGAAGAATGCGCTCAGAACAGTTGGAGCGTTTGCGTAGGGAGCTTCATGCCGCCCCGGCCTATAGGTATGTGCCAGCGGCCCCTTGGAGCGCATGCTACGCTGCAGCGGTCAAGGACACCGAGTTCTGGAACAAAGAGCTGAGCACTCCTGCAACATTATTCCTGGCACGAAACAAGCGCCCACCGGGGGGGATGACCCCGATTCATCAGCGGCAGAGCCAAAACGCCGCAGAGGCCGCAACAACAGAACCTACCGTGGAGAAGACCATTCCCAGAAAGGTACCGACGGAACCTACTCCCACAACCGAAAGGGACTTGAGATATGCCGCCTTTACAATCAAGGCAAGTGTGGCACAAAAGCTGCCCAGGGAAAGTGCAAAGCGAGCCGCAGCCATCAGTGCAATCAATGTCTTGGCCCCCATCAAGCATTGGCATGCACCGGAGGCTCCAAGAAGGATTGAAAGAAGAGTGGGACTGGTCCAGGTGGGCAGGCCAGTTCCGGCAAAGCTGAAGAAGACCCACCACCTGGCAAGAGGGTAGCGCCCAATTCACCCGAGGGTCCGCCCACAAAGAAGCAGAGAGAGACAGCGCAGAAAGCTTGGAGAGACGCTCAGGCGTCGTCGGTGGCAAGTGGCACCAAGGAGACCAAGGACAAGAAAAGTGAGCCCACTGGAGAGGGATCCTTGAGCGCCACTGCCTCTCAATCATCCTCCCAAACCGTGACCCAGACGGTGCCTGCCACCAAGGAGAGCGTAGGGACGGGTTTGAGGCCGGTGGTGACGCTCAAGAACCCTCCAAGGAACTATGGGTGGTGGTGCAGCACAATCGGGCCGACTCAGAAGAAACCAAAGTTGCTCATCATGTTCTCTGGCCGATCCAGGGAGGGTGACTTGGCCCATCAGATGGCCAGGCTGGGTTGGCTTGTGTGCTGCTTGGACACCATCGCGCCCAAACCCACCGACCTGGTGCGTGACACCGAGTGGGATCAGATCAAGGCAGACCTGGATGCGGAGTACTTTGATGCCGGGTGGATTGCAACACCCTGCGGCACCTTCTCGCCGTTGCGAGAAAAACCACCAGGTCCGCGGGTCATCAGAACTGTGGAGCACATCACCGGCATCCCGGATGCCACCAAGGCCGAGGCAAGCCAACTCCGGGACTCCAACATCCTCGTGCACCGCTCATACAAAGTGGCGGATCGATTGCACCAACAAGGCCGACCCTGGGGACTAGAGAACCCAGAGCACCCCGAAGGCAAAGCTTCCTTGTGGATGATGCCACGCATCAAGGAACTGATGAAGTGGCCGGGGGTCGACACCACTCGCTTTGACCAATGTGTCACAGGACTGGATACGACCAAGCCAACCATGCTTTGCACCGAGAAGATGGACCTCAAGTCGCTGCAGAACAAGAGGTGCAACCACACCAAGCAAACGATCACTAGAGAGGACGGGTCGACTTATGAGGCCGCCCACATGTCCACGGTGCAGAGATGGGAGACAGTGGATGGCAAGAGGCAAAGGGCATCCAAGGCACAAGGTGAGTACACTGCATTGCTCAGCAAGATCATCGCTGTCGCCATACACAAGAATGCCTCAGCCAGCTGGAAGAAAGAGGAGCTCTCCACGGAGCCCCTCTGAAACACACCGGCTACCACTGACACCACCTCCCTTATCAAGCCAACCGATAGGGAGGTACAGAACAGGTTGGCCCTCGGAGGCATGAGGAATCCACACCTGGCCATTCCAAGAATACCGGGTCTCATCGTACCGGGCAGCAGAGTCAGAGCCATCCTGGAGGAGGCACAGCTTGCACAACCAGAGCTCACCGCCATTGGGCGAGACATACTCACGGGTCGGGAGGCCATACCGTTCCCGGCGGAGGTCATAGCTCATTTGAGAGCACGGGTTGTTCAAGCGCTGGGAGGCGCACAGAAGCAGAGAGACCGGACTGCCAGGGCCACCACGCCCATTGAGGCGAATGTGATTGAAGCCTGGGGAAATGCCACGGGTGACCCGGACTCGGCCACGCTGTGCGAGTGGTTGGATCACGGGGCACCGCTTGGTTACCACCAGAGCATCCCCACCAATGGCATTTTCCCAACAGTGCCATCAGAGACAAAAGGACCAGAAGGCCAACAAGACCTATACCGCTCCCTGGAAGGGTGGCAGAACTACAAGTCCGCCCAGGAAGAAGCTGACGATTTGGACGCCCTGATTTCCGACTACGTGGGGCGGGGGTTCTGCCACCTATCCGGTAGCATGGAGGAAGCCACCGCTGAACTGGGCCGGCCGCCCGTGCTGAACAAACTGGGGGTGGTCGTCAAGTACAACGCTCACGGAACGAAGAAGAGCAGGATCATATGGGACCTACGTGAGTCACGGGCTAACCAGCTGTGCAACCAGGGAGAGCGGATTCTCCTACCACGGCTGCTGGATGTGGCCCAGCAGGCCATCCGGGTGTACAGATCGGGAAGCACACCATGGCTGGCAGCAGTAGACATCAGAGACGCCTTCATGAATATACCTTCAGGTCAAGACAAACGCTACACAGTGGCGGCGCGGCCCAAGCCAGGCCACGAGGACCAGATGGAGCTCATCATCTTCGACACCCTAGTGTTTGGAGCCGGTAGCTCACCAACGCTGTGGGGACGATACGCAGCGTGGCTTGGGCGATCATGCGCATCCATCATGCCGAGGGCCAGCACCCAAATTTATGTGGATGATCCGGCCTTTGTACTGGCAGGGACCTTGGAAACCGCATCAGAGGATCTCACCACACTCCTCCTTTGGATTAATGTGGTGGGATTCCCGGTCAAGTTGGCCAAGGCAGAAGGGGGGCAAGACAATCAGCTGGGTTGGAGCAAAGCTGGACCTCAACGACAAGGACCAGACCGTGAGGGTCACCATCCCACAAGACAAGGTCGCCAAAATACAGGAGACAACTCAACTGTTCCTGAAGCGGCCGGTTGTGGGCCAGAAGCAGTTGAGGTCCTACGCCGGAATGCTCTCTTTTGTAGCAGGGCTGATCCCACACCTACGCCCTTTCTTGGCTTCTCTATGGGCTGTCCTCGGGAAGGACACTTCAGCGAATGACGGAGCGGGTAAAGTCTCGCATTCCGGAAAGCTGGTCCATACCCGGAGGATCAAACCCGCTTTAAGGTGGATAGAGGCACTGGTGAAGGGTCGCCCAGCTCCACTGTGCAGGACTCTCGAAAGTCTAGTTCCCGAGGTGCTGGCAGAGATCGGCCATAACGGTCCGCGTTCGAGACCGGGGCCAGCCGCGTCATCACGTCACCGTCACCGTCACCGTCGCCGTCACGTCACCCACATCATGTCACGTCAACGTCATGTCACCGTCACGTCACCCACATCATGTCACGTCACCGTCACGTCACCGTCACGTCGCCCACTACCACTACCACGACCACTACCACAGCAACAACAACAACAACAACTACTAACTACTAACTACTACTACTACTACTACTACTACTACTACTACTACTAAGTACTAACTACTACCTACTACCTACTAACAACAACAACTACTACTACTACTACTACGACGATGACTACGACTACGACTACTGCTACTACTATTGCTACTGCTAATGCTAGTGCTACTGCTACTGCTACTGCCAGCGCTAGCGCTAGTGCTAGTGCTCGGTCTACTACTACTACTACTACCACCACAAAAACTGCTGCTGCTGTTACTACTTCCAACCGCTACTACTATACTATTATAATCAGGCTTACTAATAGAACTACTACCTA